TAAACTAGTACAACCACAATAGAAATCAATACGGAGTTCTTAAAAAACTAAAACTAGAAATTCCATTTGACTCAGCTATCCCCCTTTCAGGTATTTTTCCAATAGATTATGTCTTCATTTAAGTCATCATTTATAGTGATACTTTCATACTTGTGTTTATAGCAGCACAATTCATAAGAGCTAAATCTTGGAAGCAGCCATGATGAATGGATAAAGAAAATGTGGTATTTATACACACTCTGTATATACTACTCTGTAAACAGTAAATATACTACTTACACACACTGTGTATATACTACTCTGCCATAAAGAAAAACGTGAATCATTTGTAAGAAAATGGAGGCACCTCGAGACCTTAACATTATGTGAAATAAATCAGACATATAAGTTAAGTATCACATGGTTTTTCTTATATGAGAAACCCCAAATTTAAAGAGCAAAATAAAAGACAGATAATAGGAAGCAGAGATGTGCTCAATTCGGCAGCACATGGACTAAAACAGGAAGCAGAGAGAGAGAGATCTTTTCAAATGGGGAGGGGATTAAGAGATGGGGGAGTGGCAGAAAGAGGATGGAAAAGAACTGAGATGTGTAACATACATGCACCACCTCCACACAAGGGACACTGCCATCGCATGATGCAAATACACTAATAAGCCATGAAAACGGAAAAGGGGAAGGGCTCACAATACTAAGTGAAATAAGTAAGGCACGTAAGTTAAAAATATCACATGGTTTCTTTTACATAAGAAACCCAAAGTAAAAATAAACTAAAAAACAAAATAAAAGATAATAGGAAACGGAGATAGAGCTTTTGCAGAAGGGAAACGGACCAAGCGATGGAGGAAGCGGGGAGGAAAAAGAGGGGAAGAGGATAAAAAAACTCCATGTTAAGTTGAGTGTAACCATTATGTACTGAAAATATATACTAATAAAAATAAAAATTTAAAAAAAGAATAGGAAGGCCTGGACGATGGGAGTTGCCAATAGGAGTCATGAGAATTAAACAACAGAAAGTATGTAAACCCTGCAGAGTAACTGGTACAGAGTAAGTGCTCAAGAAGTGTTACTATTATTGAGTTTAACTTTGAAGGTACAGATTATCATGAGACCTAATGATGATATGTTATAATTTAGTCTTGGACAGGTAAGTGTGCAGAAGAAAAATAATTTTAGCTACCAAATAAGCCCATCTGACTGTTTAGGCAATCTAATCATCAACCACCTTTGTGGTTCTTTTATAACTCTCAATATGGCTTTAACATAGCTTTTTTTTTTTTTTTTTGGTAGCAGGGATCGAACTTGGGACCTTGCACTTGCGAGGCAGGTGGTGGAACCACCGAGTTAAATCCCCAGCCCTAACATAGTGTTTAAATTCTAAGCGTGTCTTGCCTGGTGTGGTAGCACATGCCTATAATCCCAGCACTTGGGAGGCAGGAGGAGGGTCATTGTGAATTTGAGGCCAACGTGGACTACAAAGTGAAGTTCAAGGCCAGCCTAAACTACACGGAAAGACCCTGTCTCAAAAAACAAAAAAAAAAGGGAAAACTTTAACTATGCCTTAACTCATTTAATGTGGAGAGACTGCAAATACAGTAGTACTCAGGAAGGTCTGAAAACATGCCCCTCAAATGCTAAGGGACAAATGGATTCATTAACACAAAAGAAGGGTACAGCATCTGCATACATAAAGTAGTGATTATGATGCAGCCGTCTTGTAGAGCCTCTCTAATATAACAGAGAATGATATTTTTCCAGACAAAAAGTTAAGGAAATGGCTGGGTGAGGTGACAGCACTCTGGAAGGCTGAGTAGGAATATTACAAATTTGTGGGCCGGGCTGGGGATTTAGCTCAGTGGTTCTAGCACCTGGCACGCAAGCACCAAGTCCCGAGTTCGATTCCCGGTACCAAAAAAAAAAAAGAACAGCAACAAATTTGTGGCCCACTTTGGCAATTTAGTGAGATTGTGTTTCATAGTAAAAAAAATTTTAAAGGGGGTGGGGCTAGGAGCAAAGGCCCTGGGTTCAATTTCCAGTACAGAAAGAAACAAAAGACAATTCAAGAGTATACTATATGATTCCATTTATATTTATTTATAAACATGAATCTATGGCAATAGAAAAGTAGTTACTATAAGAGAAGGTGGTGATGGAGAAGGGCTCCAAGAGGATGGGGGGTTCTCTTGTGTACTGGTCATGTTCTCTTCCTATTGGTGGTCTGTTCACTTTGTAATAATTCATTAAACTAGCATGTATCCTATACTTCATCAAAAAGCTTACCTAAAAACAAAAGGCAATAACTAGCTTAGAGCTCTACAAGTAGGTACCACGAGCAAAGGTCACTATCCTGAACTGAAAAGAGTGCATGAACAAAAAGTTATCATTGAAATTAAACGGTGGGGCTGGGGATTTAGTTCAGTGGCACCACGTCTGTCTTGCAAGAGCAAGGTCCTGAGTTCAATCCCTGGTACCCCCCCCAACAAAAAGAAAGAAATCAAATGGTAATAGGCAGATCCACGAAATATTGCAATAATTTCAACCCTTTATGAAACTAGTGATAGATGAAAGTGTGGAGATGCAAACAGGGGCAACAGAATATCGGCATGGTGGTAATACAGTATGTGGAAACAATATCATCATGCTAGAAGCCATGGAGTGAGATTAAATAATAGCTGTTCAGCAAAGAATTCCATGTCCCCTCTCCAGAGAGCCTGTTTCACTATGATGTAAAAATGAATCATTTACATTTTTGTATTAAACTTTTTACTTGGGCCAGGGATTTAGCTCAGTGGTTCCGGCATCTGCCTCCCAAGCACTAGGTCCTGAGTTTGATCCCCACTACCAAAAACAACAGCAACAACAACAACAAAAAACCTTTTTACTAAATAAACTTTTGTAATTGCCCCCCCAACCCCCCCCAAAAGGCTAGCAATGACAAAAAGGATATAGAAAAAAGCTCCACAAGCACTAAAGCTGGCTAGGCGTGATGGCACACACATGTAATTCCAGCACTTGGGAGGCTGAAGCAGGAAGATCACTACGAGTTTGAGGCTAGCCTGAGCTACATAGTGAGTTCAAGGACAGCCTGGAATACATACCGAGACCCTGTCTCAAAAAACAAACAAACAAGCTAAAGCTGGTGGCTCTGCAAAACCTACTTTTTTGTCTCTGTACATTGGCAATTAAATTTGGTTCAAAAGAGGTAATTAGGTTATGAAGCTCTACTCTCACAAAGGATTAATGTAGTTCCCACAGGAGTGGCTGAGTTAACCTGACAATGAGTTATAAAGCAAGCTTGGCATTTCCCTCAGTCTTGTTCACTTGCTCTATCTCTCTCACACACAAGCGTCTCTTTTGCATCCTTTATTCTCTTCTGGTTTTCATGCAGCAGCAAGCAACCCTCATCAGAGCCTAAATAGTTGCCAGGCATGCTCTTGAACCTCCAGAATAAAGAGACTAATACACTTCTTTTCTTTATAAATTTCTCAGCCTTGGGCATTTTATTATAGCAACCTAACATGGACCACCAAGACAACCACAAGAGATGAAATGATCTAAATGGTGTTATCTAAGGTCACAAAACAAATCAGTGGTAGAACAGGGATCAAAACTGAGGTATGCTAATTTTAAAGTATTCTCAATTCCTGAAGGAATATTTCTGGGTGTATGTGGAGGGTCCCAGACAGCCAGGCACTTATTATCCTGATCCCAATGCAATGAAGTCCTAAGGGGAAGCAAAAATAATCATAAAACAAAATATTTACTAAAAACAAGAACACATAAAATTGTTTCTCATTCAAACATTTCTCCTCTGGCTCAGACCAACTTCTGTTTCTGCCAGTTTCCATCAGCTGCCCTTGTCCTTGATGACATCTTTCCTGTGTTATGATGTTAAACAGAATAAACAATGTAAATCATCTGCAGATAAAACTGTGTATCTTGGGAAAGAGGCAGAACTCCAGAAGTTGATAACAAGTCCTACTGGAGAACAATCTGAATCATATTCAAATTCAGTGATAAAAAGAAAATCAGACAGATTAAGGTCAGTTAAGCATTGTGGCAGAGATTCCTTGTTGCTAACCAAACACCCACCTTCCCCTACTAAGTAACACAACCTTGGTTTTTCAATAACTGTAATTTAGTAATTGTATTAATGTTACTATACTCCCCAGTGAAGTCTAAAAAATGTATGTGAATCAATTTTTAAATGCAGGGAGCTAAACATACAGTTTCAGACAATTCCTTCCCCGAGTAAACATCCCATGCTGTAAACCAGTTGCATCCTATTTAAGGAATAAGGTAATGCTTTACAGTGTTTCAGTCCAAGCTGAAAACACTTATGCTTCGGCGAGTGGGAGCCTACCATAAAGAGACTTCAACAAGTCTGAGCACTGAACTGTTCAACTACCATTAGGGCAGACACTAGCTAAATGCACCAGCAATTTGAAGTTAGTGATACTGTAAATACAAAAGAATTACATGAAAGAACATGAATGGGAAAAGAAACACACGAAGGTTAATTTAGATAAAATAATTCAGCCATTCACAGATACTTATGTGCAAAGGCCGGTATAGATCTGTAGGCATACCCATAGAATCCACTGTCCCGGTGCACGGGTGCACTATGCTGCCGGGAGCTGGTGAACAAAGACAAGATCCCTGCCTTCAGCGTTTGCTTAAAGAAATGCGGAGTTATCATCTTCATAAAAATCTTAAATTCCTCTGCTGTTGTTCATACTCCCAGCGCAAGCACTACATAAGCAAACCAAGTTTTGCATACATCCTGCTTTGTCCTCTTGGAAAACAGGACCACGGGCAACGAAACAGGAATAGTTCCACAATCTATCAGGTACATTTTCTAAGTAGAGCTCATAGAATCAAAAAGTGACCAAGTAACTTTTCTGTTTACTCATACGTTAAATGTTGTGAAAATTCAAAAATAAATAAAATCTCTCTATCGACCATCTCCAGCGTTAAAATCCGTTCTTCTCATAACCCACCTTTCGCCGACGTGGTGTAGACTTTCCTGAACGCACCACACATCAGAGACAGAACAAAGAAATCCTCTTAACAGGGGCACGCAGTGTTCTTAGAAGATAGCAATGGTATTTACCGACGACTGTTTCTGCTCTAAATTAAGATACTGGAGGATTTGTCTTTAACTAGCTCCACCTGGGTAACACGAGGATGGGGAAGGGGGCACCGTATTTAAGAGTAGCGGATTTCAGGTCACCAACACTTGTCCCTTTTGGGGTTTGGGATTGGGCCGTGCCAGTGGGGACACAAGATCTCACGACACCTTAAACCGGCTAGCCAATGGAAGACTCCTGGCCTCACAAAGAGATAACTAGGGCAGAAGTGTTACACAACCAACACCTCCGACATCGAAGGCCAGCTCGCGGAGTCTCCCAGGAGTGTGTCTTGGAAACCACATCACTGGCGGACAAGAAGGTACTAGGATTACTCAGGAGCTGTTGAACGCGACTCTTCCCAAGCAGATCAGGAGCGTGGAAAGATGCCAGGCGGTCGAGGCCACAGAGAGAGGAGGGTCGTGCCCGCTGCGCACCGCCCAGGTCCCGGCCCCCGCCCCCTGCCCGCCCCCCGTAGGGACCGTACCTGTTTCCGCATGTTGTTCATGACGCCCATGAACCCTGCCAACAATTTAGCTTCTTCTCGAGCAGCAAGTTTCTTCTCGGTCTTCTTCTTACTGCTCTTCTCCACTCCGGAGGCTGCCATTCTCCCTCGGCTCGGCTCAAGCCCGGGGCTCGCAGCGGCGGGCGACGGGTCGCACTCTCCGGGCTCGCTGGGTCTCTGTTTTCCCAACACTGCAGTCAGGACTGCGGCTGCGGCATGTAGCGGCCAGCTCCCGGTGGGCAGGCGGCCGGCAGCACCGGCTGGATCACGGCGGGACTACAGGCCGGGAGGCTCCTCAGGCGTGCTGAGGGAGAAGACCCTGCCGGCTCGTAGGCATCTGTAGCAGAGCCGGAGCCGGGAAAAAACCTCCGTCTTCCGCTCGAGGGGGTGGAGCCTATGGCGGGAGCGGGGCGTGGCCTGAAACGTCACACCCAGGCGCCGCTCCGACACGCTGCGTACGTACTGTGGCGCGGCGGGCGTGGCGAGTGCATCCTGGGGTTTGTAGGTCCCGGACGAGCGAAAGTACTCTCCGAATTGGTCCAAGGTCGTGCGTGCCTTTTCTTGGCCAATGGCTAATTTCCCGCGTACCATTTACGTGATTCTCTGTTTTGAATGATTGGCCTGCGGAAACACTGAAATGTCTCTGTGTGATTTCCGAGAGAATAAGGTTGTTTTCCTCCCTGCAGTATCAGAACTTGGGAGTGTTGTAAGAGTCAAGTAATATTAAATGATAAAAGAATATCCCATACTTCAAATTAAAGGCTCATCACACGGAATACAAGGTTTATTTGCTTGGGATTCATAAAGTAAGAATATACAGTCCCCTTGGTGTCTCGTTGGATACAATGCCTACTTATTAGAATGGCTTATTCTGTTTCAAACGGAGATCAGATGTCAGGTGCAGAAATCTTTAGACCTAGACCTTTCCGAGTGTCCTCGGGACAACAAAACTCAATCCTAGCACTCATGGGAATGCTCTTGAAGTTATAGCTATTTATTATTTTTGGCATATAGTAATAGGGATCATTTGAAATTATTATTTTTTATTCTAAAAACTTTATACATAGCCCCTTAGTTTTCTGACTAGATATAAAAGGACTCTATAGAGATCTTTTATATAAAATAATTTAATTATTGAAGCATTATACTTTCTCTTGATGAAGACAATACAGTATAACTCAAAGGGCAAGCAGCTAGTAAGCCTTCATTTTTTACAAAAGAATAAGCTACGTTTCTGGGTAGTATTTTTTTCTTTTAACTTAGGGGTTCTCAGATGTGCTTTAATTTTAACTAGTTAATAACTTGATTTACAGTGGGCCCTATCAATATGATTTTAAAATTTATTTATTTATTTTTGCTACGCAGGAATTAAACCCAGGAGCACTCTACCTTGAGCTACATTTCCCAGCCCTTGTGTGTGTGTGTTGAGACAAGGTCTCACTAAGTTGTACTTGCTGGCCTTAAACTTGTGATCTTTTTGCCTCAGCCTCCCAAGTAGCTGTGATTACAGGTGTGCACCACTACATCTACCTGGAATCATTTAGTCTTAATGAAACTAGAAATAAGAAAAAATTCATTTACTTTATTTAGTAAATGACCCATGACAGCAAATAATAAAATCCCAGTTTTTTTAACTGAAAGGAAGTAAAAAACCTGTCTCCTAAGTCTAAGGTCTTGGGAGACACTATGATGATGTGATAGTATTCTGATGTGTAGTGAAAAGAACAGGGAACAGCATAGTTAGAAATGGATGCTGGAACAATCCTTTCAAATATCACAGGATATAAAACATCAAAATTGATGGAAAGACCATAGGATTCAGATCTCAAAGAAACCATGGACATTATGAAGTATGAAGGGTAGGCAAGAGGCTTGCCTAGATGGAAAATCCAGCATCTCAACTTTTGGCAGACTATTCTGATGTAGGGGACCAACTAAGCTGAAAATGGTATTCAAATAAGCAAAAATAATCCAAACAAGGGAAATATTTTAACTCCCAACCTGCTAAATTATCTGAAACTTGAGTTCGTGGTCTCTAAAATAGAAGAATGAATTCTAGGACAATGGAGGTTAAGAGTAGGAAAAATGTATTGAAAGATAGCTTCTGTCTAAGAGAGACAGAATGGGGACCAGAAAGTGGGTTGCCTGTCCACCCTGCTTTTCAAAGTTGTGTTTTATTTATTTATTTAGGTACCAGGGATTGAACTTGGGACCTTGTGCGGCAGGTGCCGGAACCACTGAGCTAAATCCCCGGCCCTTCAAAGGTGCTTTATAGGGCAAAGCCATGAGGTGAGGTGGGTACAAAGTGGACAAAACTGTAAGACATAATGGAAAATTACAAGGTGAGTATGAGGTGGTACAAAACCATTATTCCACATAGGTAAGTTCAGTAGATATCTTGTAGGTAGTTAGACAGGGCCAGCCCACAAGGAGCCAATGTGGACGAGAGTGAAGACACATTCACTGGAGGCCAGCATTGTAAAAGGAGAGAAATTAGCACACCCATGTAGGATGAATAGCAGTAATTGATATTATAAACAGGTATCAGCTATGGTGGGGTCTTAACCCAGCCTCTCCAGGAAATATCCCTGACCCACCCTTACTGAAAATCCTTGTATGCTTGTTATGCGCTTGCTCCCCCATTTGACCCCCATTTAATCAATATTACCTGGGTGACTGTACTTATAATCTTATTAGTTGGTCATGGTTTTGCCCCACCTCATGACCACCTTGTAAATTTCCACTGGGTCTTATAGTTTTGTCCCAATTTGTACCTGCCTCACCACATGGCTTTGCTGTATAAAACATCCTTGAAAAATGGGGTGGGCTGGCAACCCACTTTCTGGTCCCCCTTCTGTCTCTCTTAGGCAGGAGCTCTCTTTCTCCCAATAAATTTTCCCTACTCTTAACCTCCATTGTTCCTAGAATTCATTCTTCAATTTTAGAGAACATGAACTTACATTTCAGATATCTAGTAGATTTGGGAGTTAATCTCTTCCCTCTATATAACCATCATCAACCAAAAAGATTGCAAGTACAGTTATCCAGGTAATATTGATTAAATGAGGATCAAATGGGGAAACAAGTCATATACAAGAAATTTTCCAAAAGGGAATGGGCTAGAGAGATTGATGTCTATTTAGAATATTAATCACTGCTATTCATCTCTAGGGGAAGTAGGTAAGTGTAGTAGCCCTTCTCTTTTTATCCTAACAGGTGACTGTGCCTCAATTGTTTTTCTGTGCTGAGGGCTCAGCTTTGTCTAACTGCCTTATAATAATTTTTAACTAATTTAGCTATTTGCAATATTCCTCCCTCTGAAGAAGTATTGATATAGGGGGAAAAGATGTAACTCCCAACCCTACTAGATATCCAAACCTTGAGTTTGTGTTCTCTAAAATTGAAGAATGAATTCTAGGAACAATGGAGGGTAAGAGTAGGAAGATTTACTGGGAGAAAGAAAGCTTCTGCCTAAAAGAGACAGAAGGGGGACCGGAAAGTGGGTTGCCTGCCCACCCCATGGTTCAAAGATGTTTTATACAGCAAAGCCATGTGGTGAGGTGCGTACAATGTGGGACAAAACTATAAGACCCAATGGAAATTTCCAAGGTGGGCCTGAGGTGGGACAAAACCATGACCAAGCAATAAGCTTACAAGTACAGTCAACCAGGTAATATTGATTAAATGAGGATCAAATAGGAAGACAAATCACATACAAGGAATTTCCCATTTAGAATATTAATCACTGCTCTCTATCTCTAGCGGAAGTAGTACTTCTTTTCCTTTTTATAATGCTAACGAGTGAATGTGCCTCAATTGTTCTCCATGTTAGCTCCTTGCTGTGTTGGCTCCTGGAGGGCTGGTCCTGACTAACTGCTTACCTATCTGCAATATTCCCCCCTCTGAAGAAGTACCCCTAACTGCTGTGAGAGGACAAAGGGCGAAGACAGTTCTGGCTACTTCCAGCTGAAGAGGGTCATAGTTGTGATCAGCAGTTAGAGTTACTCTACAGAGTCTATCTGAAGTCCCTTGATAGGTGTCAGGCATTGTCATCTTGGTACCCCTATAGCTTTGAGTCTGGAGGAGACAAAAGCCAAAGAAATAGTTAAGAATATATGGGCTACACAGGCTGTTTTTCCACTGCAGTTGATCTTTGGGGCCTTGACGCAGAAACCTCCATCCACCAGGGCAGGATGGCCATGTCCCAGGAATCACTGAGCTTCAGAGATGTGTTTGTGGACTTCACTCTGGAGGAGTGGCGGCAGCTGGACTCTGCTCAGAAGAACCTCTACAGGGATGTCATGCTTGAGAACTATAGCCACCTGGTGTCTGTGGGGTATCTAGTTGGCCAGCCAGATGCAATCAGCTTGGGATGAAGAGAAGAGGCCTAGGGGACAGACAGAGGAACCCAGATGAGGAGCTGTCCAGGTGAGCACACACCAGAAGTCTGGCAAGTTGATGGATGGATAGATAACTACAAGGAAAGCCAAGACAACCCCCTGTGACAAGCTGCATTCAGAGACAAGGAAATACTGAAGGATGAAAGGGGCTACGAATGCAGAACATGCAGAAAAATCATGTATCTGAGCACAGACTTTGTCTATATAAGACAAAGACTCCCTAAATATCATTCATGGAGAAGGCACTCAACATAATTTAAACTTTCTTAGTTAAAACAAAAACTATGTAAGAAAGATAATGGGTGTAAGTCATATTGAAAATTATGCCTGCACTCTAATCTTGATAAAACTAACCCTGCAGAGAAATTCTTTGAAACCCATCAATAAGGAAAAACTCCTCACCATAAGGAAGCTTTTAATAAAAGGTAGCAAATTCAAGCTGGAGAGAAACTCTATGAATGTGGAAAGATATTTATCCAGAAAGCATGCCTTGTTGTGCATCAAAGAAGTC